TCACTAAGTGGGTAATTATTAGAAACACAACAAAATATTTATTTTAGCATGGGAAAATAAATCCCATCGTGGATGTGTACTGTTTTATCTGCTATGAGTAATCTAGGTAAATTCTGGGCACATTAAATCCTAATTTCATATGGTACATATATGAATATACATTTTTCCCGGAGGATATTTTAAACAGTAGCTTAATTGCTGAAGAGGAGCTAAAGGGCAATATGTCACAGTAATAAATCAAAGAATGTACCAATCAGATCAATCTCTGAAAGAGAAGATCATATACATCAAAAAAAAAAATACACATGTTCTTTCTTATTCATCCACTAATATCAAAATATATCCAGAATCTGCTATCTTCTCACCTTGCTACCACCCTAGTCCAAGTTAGCATGAATTTCTCTGTTGACCTCTAGGTCCATGGTCTTATTTACCAGCTATAAGTGAATGATGCACCCCATCCCTGGTTTATACCTGTTGTACAGATCTCACCTTTTTATGCCATACATAGAATTTAGACATCAATTCCATACAAGGGGCTGCCTAATTTGATGTATTTACTTGGTTACTTAATAAACATTTCAGACTCAACCTGTCCAAAACTGACATCTGACTTCTCTGTCCCTCACTGAAACTCTTCCTGTAGTTGTTCCCATAGTAGTTAGCAAAAATAATGGCAACAACATCCTTCTAATAACTCAAGATAAAAACCTTGGGATCAACTTCCATTTCCCTTCTTTCTTGCATTTCCACATAATTTACTAATATCAAAATATATCTGGAATCTGACAACTTCCCACAGTGGTCCATTGTCCATCATTTTTTTTTTTTTTTTTTTTTTTTTTTTTTTTGCTGCATCATTATACAAGCCTCCTAACTCGTCTTCCTACTTGAGTCTTTGCTTCTCTTCAGTCAATGATCAACATAAAAACCAGAATTATCCTTTTAAAGGTATAAATCAGATCATGACGATCCCTTTGTGAAAATCCTTCAGTGATTTACTGTATCACTCAGAGAAAGAACCAGTGACCTAGAAATGACGTAGAAAGCCCTCCATGATCTTGCCCCTGTCTTATTTCTGATATCATCTTCCACATCTCTCTCCCTTATTCTCTCCTTTACCTATGTGTCTCCTTAGCTCTTCCTCAAACTTCCAGACAGATTTCCAGTTCAGGACTTTTGATTCCCCCTTTCTTCTGACCTAATTGCTCTTCCCTGAAATATCCACAAGGCTCATTTCCTACCTCTTTTCGTCTTTGCTCAAAATTCATTTAAGGGTGTAACTGTCTGGCCATCCTATTAAAATTACAAACTACCCACTCAGACCTCTTTTTTCCCTCTGCTTCATTTTTCTCTTAGCATTCATACTGTTTGAAATATGAAAAATACTAAGATAGCCTTTTTGGTGACACAGGTTCTCATTTTCCCAGCTGCTGAAAGTATAGTTGCGTGATGACTCACACTGGTTATTTTCTAGGCATTGCCCTCATGTGAAGAAAGCGCAGCCAAGGTTACACATTTTCCCAGAGGACAGCTCATATCTCAGGACTAGCCCACAGGCAGTGTTCGAGGATCTGATCCCTTGCCTCAATAGGTGACATCTCTGAAAAGCCATTCCAGGTCCAACCTTCCTATGGAATAAAGTAAGTTTGCTGTGGCTGCAGTATGAGTTTCAGCTGTTCCCTCCCTCTGACCCTGTTTTCCTCAGTTCCTTGTTGCTTTTGTTTCCAAGCCCTCAGGACACACACATCTTTTGTGTGCAAACCTCTGTTTCAGAGTCTTTTGCTTGGGAAGCCTATTCAAGACACCCCTCAATATAGAATGTAAACTTCAAGAAAGGGATGATTTCCATTTGTTTTGTTTACTACTTTCCCCCCAGGTCTTAGCCCCAGGCCTAGGCATAGTAGGAACACAAAAGAAATATCTATTAAATAAATACATAATATTACTTACCACATTTTGTCTATTTATTTTTCAAATCCCCTAAAAAATAATAAGATCCTTGAATGAAGGACAAGTGTTTTGTTTTGTTATTGCTTTTTTTTTTTTAATCCTGCTGCACAGGACATAGCGCATTATAAATATCTCGTAGTTGTTTAATGAATGTGTAATACATGCATAAATGAATGGATGGATGAATACAATTAACATTTTGTTGGGGCACCTGGGTGGCTCAGTTGGTTAAGCAACCCACTAATGATTTCAGCTCAGGTCATGATCTCATGGTTGGTAGGATTCGGCCCAGTGCCAGGCTCTGCACTGACTATGGAGCCTACTTGGAATTCTCTCTCTGCCTGTCTGTCTGTCTCTCTCTCTCTCTCACTCACTGTAAATAAACAGACAAACAAACTTTAAAAAAAGATGATGCTAAAATCGTTTAGCATTTGCCTCTTTCTTCATAATCCCTTTGGACATATTCATGGCATCATTTTAAAAAAAATTTAATTGTCAAAGAGAAACAGGCATAAATGACAAAGTTGGAATTAGAAATTAAATATTCTTTACCTAATTCATATTCGTGATTACATACTTAATGTTCCTAAATTCTTCTTGTGTGTACCAACCTGAAACAATTTCCTGGCTGAATCCCTCTTCATAGTCATCACTGTAGGCTGGAACTTGATTCATGTGAACATCTTGTATACAAATATCTTCAAACAAACTTTTCCAAATTTCAATACACTCTACTTTTGAAGGGTTGTTGCAATGACAATTCCACAAGATCGTTTCTTTCAGACTTTCTCTTAATGCTGCACACGTGTAGCCTCCATCAATGGTCTTGCATTGTTCTGATTCTCTCCCACAGGTTTTCTTAAAATTTTCATACAACAGAGTGCAATGTTCCGACTCCTGGCAGATATGTGCTGCTGTGACACAGTCAATCTTTTTTCTAACCATTAATGATGTGTTTTTCTGATGGAACCACTGTGTGATATTTGACTGTGAAGCCAAATGTAAAGACAGTGCTGATTCTTCTATAAAGTTAAAATAAAATAAAAAAAAAAAAAAGAGAGAGAGAGAGAAACCAAAAATTAAATAATTTAATCTTACTGGCCTGGGTGGCTCCATGGTTAGGCATCGGATTCAGATTTGATCTCATGGGGTTCATGAGATGGAGCCCCACCTTGGGCTCTAAGCTGACAGTGGGGAGCCTGCTTGGGACTCTCACTCTCCTGCTCTCTCTGCCCCTTCCCACTTGTGCATGTCCGAGTGCACACTCCCCCTCAAAATAAA